CCCCCTTTTTTTTTCTTTCTTTCTCTCCTCCCTTCATCGGCACGAATCAGTAAGCTTCGCGAAGATCACGCCATCAACGAGGACGTCAACCTGCGCGCTGATTCGATGGACTGCAACGAGCAGGGGTGCAGAGCACACGGAGATCGGGTGGACCATGATGGCGTCACCTGGACGATCTCCACGAGGCAGAGGATTGCATATGACAGGGCTGCAGAGATCTTACCACGGATGTTGTCGCCATCTCATCCGCGACTCAAGTTATCATTCCTTATACTTCCTTCTGCTCTGTTGATACGTTTGGTTCCTCATGCATCACTCTGTTCTCCCCTCTTCTTTTTCGCCGTGACATGCAATCAGGAGATCGCATAATTTTGGAACCCCCTGCGTTTCACATATGTGACGAACCACTTCACGAACCCGTGTTATCTTTCGTACCCTTTCTTTTGCTTGTATCCTACTAACACCAGGAAAACCCCCGTCCTGATTTCTTGCTTTCGGGTGCTGCATTTTCCTTTTTTTTTAGAGTTTTTTCGACTGCTGAGTTTAGTTTTTCCTTTTGTAAAGTCGGGAAATACATGGGAAATTGCGCGCGCCTTAGCAAGTGCACTGAGAATTGGGCTCGGTAATTAGGAACTCCGGGATAAGCGAAACTTCCACGTGTCCTTTTTGGGTGTGTACTTGGGCGCGTCGGGAATTTTGCGTAAATACGAATAGGCGCAGGAATTTTTTTTTTCCCACGTCGTTTTTTTTCGCGCGCGGATATGGTGATTTCAATATTTGAATTGGAATAGAAGCAAGCTGTAACTGTTTCGGTGCCTTTTTCTTTTTTTGTTAACGGCGCCGTGCATGCAAAAGCTTCTTCCTCTTTGTCCCCCGCATCGCTCCCTCCGGCGCCTCCCTCCCCTTCTCCCTCCTTTTTCTCTCTCCCCGTAACTGTTTTTCCTTCTCCCTCTCTCTCTCCCGCCTTGCTTTCGCGCGCCCATTTCCCTTTCTCGATCATCTGAATCTTGGACCCGTCTTGCGCCACTTCTCGCGCCTTTTCTCTTCTCACCCTCTGAGCCTGGCGTACGACGCCCAATCAATCCCCCGATAACTCCTGCTCGCCAATCAGGTGCGTGGATCGATAGGACCTACCTATCGCGCGACGGATCTGATTGGTTGAACCTTGAGATCCGAGGGATCAACATGACATTCTCGAAGCACTCTTCTCAAAGTCTTCTCCTCCTTCTCCTCCTACACCCCTGCCTTCCCGTCGTTCTCTCCCCCTTCTATCGCCTTTCTCGCAATTATAAAACCCGCAAGCGCGCTCGCAAAGCTCTTACGTTCTCAATTCCTAAGCCAGCTTCCGGGAAGCAGTGGCTAGGCAGAGTGGATTGATGCGAGTCGGAAAGTCCTGTCGGGCTGACGATAGACTGACCGGTTGCGCGCTTGATCGCCACAAAGGACTGTGGGATCCGGGCGAACCGTGTCGAGTTTACGACAGCGGGGTGACGATCGCAGTGGTGGGAGTTAGCATAGAACGACCGGGATCGTCGGTGCGGATATGAGGGTTGATGATTGGAGTTGAGTGAGTAAATGGCCCGGGGCCTTGTGGAATTAACGGCGAATGCGCCTTAGTTGCGGATTGTTACCCTTGGCGTGAGTGTAAGGCGGCGACGCCGAACTTTTCTCTTTTCGGACCTTGGCATCTTCTATTTGACTCTCTCTCTCTCTCTCTCTCTCTCTCTCTCTCTCTCTCTCTGTCTCTCTCTCCTGTTGAATGATGATGCGTCTGAATGATTGTCCCGCTCTTGAATGGAAATGAGTCGGCATTCTGTGTGAAGGAACTTCTTYCGRAACTCTTCCATTAGTTTCCTGGGTAATCGTCCTACGCAAGGACCCTGTTTTCTTGTCTTGTGAACGGTGGACGTATGTGTACTCACTGATGCGATCCATCTTTTCCTGTGCACGTCCCATTTTTTGCACCTTCCACAGTGAATGCATGTAGGGAACGAACGACTCTTTTGTTGATTAGACGATTGTCGTCGGGATTTTATTCGAAAATGCAAGAGTGTTTAGATCCGTAGCTCTGTTTACAGTGCGCATGTCATCTGCCTTATGATGCACGACATCAACAGCCGAGTCACGAGGCGGCCTTGAGAAACAAGGCGCCCAGGGACTAACGTTGCGTTGGGTTGATCGAACCCGTAGCCATATGCGTGATCAAGTTGATCTGTGTTTGCTCTCTATCTTTCTCTCTCATGTCAAGAAGGATTGATTGAGGGTTGAGCGAATGATTTCTGTTTTTGATGACGTCTCGGGATATTTGTGATTGATGGATATGTGGACTGACAAGCATCCTTGGACTGGGCGCCAGCCTCCCGTGTCTCTCATCCCAACGCAACCTTTTCCTTACAGTGAGGAAAGGACACGTGTATGCGAGTGGGACGTACGAGAAGTCGTTGCACGAATCGATGGACAGTATTACTTCCCTCCCGAAAATCGTTGTTCTGGATTCGTAGATGCGGGCTTTGTTATTATCGAAACACATTTCCTACCTTACTCGGTATTGTTGCCATTTAATGAATTGATCGTCATTCCGTGGACGGGAGTAGAACCCCACTGGCCGCGCACTCTGTGCACTGAATGTCAGCGTTTTGAGCGCTACGAGTCCAGGGGTTTCCACTACCGTGTGTGGAGTGAAGACGAGCATAAAGAAAGAGCCACACGGCTGAGACCATCCACGTCTGACTCGGGAATAACCAGCGAGCAACGATGAGATTTGATACGGAAACGAGACACGCGAAGTGTGCCAAAACCTTTTTGCTCCAAACGACGGGCGGTAGCCCGGTGGGAAGCCCGACATTAGTTTTTGGATTGAATTTGGGTCTTCTGTTTTCGCGCCATGACCAAAATGCCCCTAAAAGATGTGGGTAGAGGGGAATACCATACCCACAATTTAAAAGCTTACCAAAATACCCTGTGCATCAGTTGGACTAGGCATCTATGCAATATACCCCTACCGGTCACACTTTTCAAAATACCCCCCTATATGTCAACTTTCAGAGGGTCCAATAAATTTACAGTTTACCCCTATCTTTTCAATACACCCACCTAGCCATTGGGCCAATTCCTGTTCCTACTCCTGACCCTTCCCCATGCCAAACCTCTCTCCTGCCGCCTTTCTTCATCCCTCTTCCCCCCCCCCGCCTTTCTTGCATCTCTGGTCGGCCTTTGATCGAGTTGAACGCAAATTTATTCACAGAGTGGAAAGAAGAAAATGCAGGCATCCATAAAGTGAGAAATGAAACACAAATTAACACCACAATTTCAGATCAGTCTGCCAAGTGTCATTGTGACAACAGGCGCATTTCGTCTGTGTGTGTGTGTGTGTGTGTGTGTGTGTGAGAGAGAGAGAGAGAGAGGGAGAGACAGAGAGAGAGAGAGAGAGAGAGAGAGAAAAAAAAAAAAAATAGAGAGAGAGCATGCAAAATGAGAACTAATCTCCTGCTAGAACATGGGAAGATACACCGCCAAATCTTTTGTGTAAGAAAACCTAGAAAAAATGGCAGTGTATCTTTCCATGTTCTAGCTGCAAAAATAGTCAAACTTTTTGAGAAGTTATACACCTAGTAGGGAACGCAACCGCCAAGGTCTTAAGATACAGGGGAACGAACAGGTACGCATGATCAATACGAAAACTCCCCGCCAAAGCGACAAGCTACCGGACAACGGAGGAATGTGACTGTCATAGTGAATGGAATGCAGTTCAACCCAAGTATCACGTGAGAAATTAGCACCGATACGATATCACGAGGCAAAGTGCAGAAATGACCGTACGACCCAATTACCTTTGGACAAGTGGTGACATCACAACCACACCCAGATCGAAGGACTTATGACATGGTGGCTTTGCGCGTTTGACCAATGTTTTAATTAAATCACTTCAAAATAGCAAGAGCAAGTACGACGGTATATATAACTGTGAGGAGGAATAACTTGCTACAATTTGAGCAGGGAGTAAAAGGGCTGTAATGGGCAGTGCCCACACGCATCCTGTGGTGTGGTTACTCTGTGAGATGTAACACTCTAACTACATTACATTTTGAGTATAACTCGTGTTGAGCCGAGCGAACGATTCTGCAGTAAGGCTTTGGAACGCTCGCTCAGTACGGACGAGATGGCATGATCTCTACGACAAGTTATATCTCGTCGAGTAAACATTTGAGTATTCTTATGTTTATTCTTATTCTTATGATCATTATTATTCTTGTTGCGATTATTGCTCTTAGCATCATCAGTCGGGTTTAGCCTTGTGTTGAGTCGAATTTCGGATCACACAAGCCACATCGCCCGCAGGAGTACGGCAGCAGCGAGGTGTCGCATCGAGTGTTGAACTTATGATACTTGGACGGAGAGCGGACATCTCAGCGGGGGATTCTTCAGCGACTTGGGCGTATGTACGCTCGCGGCAAAGGCAGGGGTAGAGGCAGGGGGTCGGGGTGCAATCGGTACAGGATGGAGACACCCGCTGGGATACAAACTCCACCTTTGGCTAATGCTACCCCCACCAACATGCCAACACCAGCACAACCGATGCAGATGATGATGGTGCCAAACGCACCACAAACGAGTATGCAAATGT